TAGCGAAACTAGTTCTAGAGAAAAGGAAATATGTAGCTCCATTATATGTAGTTATTTAAACCTAGCTTTCACAATCTTAACTATGAAATAGCAACAGCGGCTTAGAATTTTTAATTTTTTAAATGGATAATAGGATGCCATTATCCATTTGAAAAATTAAAATAAAATTTAAAAATTGCCAAATTCCAATTCATTTAGGGAGCTTTCCATGGACGTTCTCTTTGCATGCTATCGGTAACTAGAAGCAAAGCTATCCATAAGGTTAACCATCATTTGTGCAAAATCATCAAAACGGCGTCCTGTATGAGAGCATTGTAGGTAGACATCCCCGCGTTCGACTGGCCCATTGCCAAATTTCCACGATACAAATATCCTCTGAAGGACAACAAGGCTTACAACGACGCACAGGACAAGGAGTGTCTTCAAGATGTTAGGGAAAAAATTGCAGAGTGGAAGAAAAAGGTTTGTCACAGAATTTCAGCATTTAACTATTGTCCCTCTCAACAATTTTACGCTGAACTTATCTAAGAATGACACGTAATAAAAACGTAATCCTGAAAGGTTTATTTTTTAACAAAAATGTTTTGTGCAAGGTATAAAACTGAGCAAAAGTTGGAATATAAAACATCATAAGGATAATTTTAAAGTACATAACACCAAACTAGGACCACCTTTGTAATATAATGTGGAATTTTTTAAAGTTTGTATTTGTTTAAATTGCTGTTGATGTATATTTATAAACGTAGTACGTTCTCAGTATTCAGCGAAGCCAAACATCATCTATATTCGAGTGTTTCAATTTCGGCTGCATTAAGCACATTACATATATCTCCATTTATTAAATTTCAGAATCACGACGTAGCTGCTGTGATTGTAGAGCCAATCCAAGCTGAGGGCGGCGATAATTATGGAAGTCCAGAATTCTTCAAAGAATTACAGAAAATCACTAAAGAAAATGGTATTTGCTTCATAGTTGACGAGGTTAGGTTGTTTTTTTTTGACAGTATTCTTTGGGCTTCTTTTATCTACTGTTGTATCTGTAAATGATCCACGATTGAGAAGACAAGTGAGGCTATAGGCATTGGATATGTTTTCCAAATAAATTCTTCACAAACAGACATTCTTTCAATTTGTAGATCTGCGCCCTTTGAAAAAAAGCTCGCGTAACTGACTTGAGTAAACGAAAATTAAGGAACTGACGTTTTCTTTCCATCTCCTTGACGAAAAATATTTAGGTACAAACCGGTGGAGGTGGCACCGGCGATATCTGGGCTCACGCTCACTGGAACTTACCATCACCTCCAGATATTGTGACATTCTCGAAGAAACTCATTACCGGTGGCTATTTCTACGGAGAACATATGCGCGTAAAAGAGGTTAGCCCTTTCAAATAGAGATTTTAGCTTTCTTAGATGCGATCTTCAGAACACTAAAGCGAATTAAAAATATTGGAAGCCTTCAATCAATGTTTTCAAACATCTGCGAAGGAATCAAATTTTTGATCTTTGCAATGTTTTCCTTGTTTTAATGGTCTCACCACCTCTTATGGCCAATCTTAGGATTTGAACTTTTGCTAGTTTGGGAGTTTGCATTCAAATAAATTAAAAGCCACATTTTCGCATTCACTTTCAGTAGTGAAAAATCACCAGCTCAGACATGTTGTCAACTAGATTAGAGATAAATAGATACTGTAAAGGTATTATGTTAATATTATGTTAAGGAGGGCGTGGGGTAAAAACAATTAGTTTCACAATCACTTTTTAAGTGTTAAATCTAGATATTAAATTGTCGATTAAGTTTGTGCGGCTTTTTTCAAGCCTCACATTTTTTTTAAAATCAAAGGTTCTGGCATAGTTTTGCGTAGAATTAGAAGGAGATGTTCCTGTTTTGTGAGATGGCTTGCTCGTTATCAAGTCGACACGTTTTTAGTTGAGCTTAAAATGAAGTGAAAGCTTAGAAGACAAAGAAGAGCTATCTGACAGTTCATCTTTTTGGATTCTCAAGACATTTGAGATTTGCTAATTTCTTTTTGGTGCAGTTATTTTACATGCTATTATTGGATAAAGTTACGATAGGTAGGTGATAAGTGGGTTA